AAGAAAGTGTTCATTGCACATAGAATTTGTAAAGGAATCAGTCAAGTGTCTAACTTCAACCTTTCACAAATTCTTTATGCAAAAAGCCATATCCTCTGAGGACAGAGGGCCAATTATCATTCCCCGCAAGATGTCAGGAGCCATTCCTGTTTCAAGAAATTACCGATAAATAATTAAATAATTATTAGAAATATTTTCAGAGTGCAAAAATCTCTAGAGAGCTCTCTGATAAGATAAGGTAGGAGATTCTGCTTACTCATTGAGCTCAGGTCATATTACAATGAGTCAGAATGACTCTAAATGAATTAACCTGACTCAAAATGAGTCATGGATACTATAAAAGGCTAATGAAGCTTTTGAAAATTTTAAGCGGAGTCAACTAGAGTCAATTGGAGTTGTTGTGAGTCAAATTGCTTAAATAGGAAGTAATATAATTTTTGTAATATAAATACTTGGGGATTTTGAGCCTTAAAAAAGAGGATCCTTTCCACCCCACTCTTTACCTACTACCAAATATAAAGTTTACCTTACACTTACTTTCTAAGAGCTTTGTGCAAGCTGTATCAGTGAATTCAGTTGTACTAGTTGGTTAGATTTAAGTTCTAAAGTCAAAGTCCAAGCCAAGTTATACCGTTTAAGCTAGCTAGACCCACCAAGAGGCTAGTAGTTTGAGCTACCGTTTTACACTGACAAGTTGTTATAGTCTAAGCAAGCTAGTCCCAGAGCGGTTAGTTGTTTCAGGCTCACATTTACCAGTTACTGAAAGTTATATATCAAAGAAAGTCCACCAAGTCAAGTTACCATTACCGAATACCAGTACCGACCAGTTTACAGTTTACCAGTACCGAATTACTCCCACTGATTACTTTAAAGGCCAAACGAACTCACAGTCCTAGTTAGTGCCTTGCATCTTTACGATACCGCATCTAACGCACCTGCCTAACTGAACCCAGGTAGTTAGTTTTTATTAAACACACCGATACCTGTCAATGGCTTCCTCTGTCTGTATGGATCTCCCTCCTTCAACTGTGTCGATGTATTGAGGGTCCGATATCTGATTCATGTTTACATACGCTGCCTCTACATCGTCCATCTGAATGAACCTCTGAGTCCATAACACAATATACAGCAGATAACTTGAATGATTTTCTTGCCTTGGTTGCATTTGGGCACGCATGGCTGGCATTCCTTCATCTTTTTTTTGGTAAGACTGTTCACCATTGAGCCCTGTAATGGTCCTCATATCTAGTCATTGCTGAGAATTACATGCAAGTAGTGACATCAAACGACACCACAAATGCCTCCGTTATATTGATTACATCGACTACCATGATATTGGGCCTAACATCGATGACCCTTTTCCTTATCATCGGCTTTGGAAAGGGCCTCTTGACTTTCGGCATACGACAGGATTTCCTATATTGGGGATACTTCGTGCATCTGTACAGGATTGCATCATTTATGTTCTCGATGTGGTATTTTATTCTGTGGATCATTGACTTGTTGGAGGGACGGATTGAAATTTTCAGGAGGAAGAGAGAATAATTTACTATGTTCGTAAATCAAGGTGGTTGTATGCGTGTTTTATTCTTTGCGAGAAGTGATCCAATGTCAGCTTTACTCCAATTTTGACTACTGGATGATGCTGGTCACTTCGCAGCCACTCTTCGCATGACCTTTTTCCTACAATTTTAATGTACTCTCCGTTTCTTTTGTGTATCTTTCCGCTCTCAAGGACTCTGCTTTTTGTGCGTCATTTGAATTAAAATTGAACGAACGCATCCCTGCGCTTATTTCCAGCCACATTCCCCAACGCTGTACGGCAAGTCTGTGGTCCTGCGGAAGAGAGAAGGAGGGCAACACCAAACCGTGGAGACTTCTTCTCTGTGACTTGTAACTAGGTGGTGAATACTTCGAATCTCAATACCTACCATGACAGTCCAAGATCCTCTAGATAAACCGACCAATATGTGTCGATTTCCAAGCACCGTCGTGACTTCGTCGCTGATATTTGAACCCTCTGCTCGCAAACCTAAGCCCCATTTGTCTAATGGTTATGACGTCAGACTTCTACCGATCTTTTAACGAATCTGGAGGTTGCGGGTTCGAGTCCCGCATGGGGTTAATTGTAATCTTGTTTTTGTTCCGCTTGCAAGATATTTTGCAGGAAGTTGGTCAGTAACTGTACCTCAGGAAGTGCCCCATATGTGGAAGTTCCGTCGGTTGGATGGAACATCGGAAAGGGGTTAAAAGTCATGATCGGTGAACGATTGGTTTGTCTTTCTCCCTCCAGTCTGCACGTCTCTACTTATGTGTTTCAAATTTGTTTTCCTTTTCTGCAGAGTTCATCCTTGCCGACGGTTGTGTAAGATACCGATATGATGCTATCATGCCCTTCTGGGGGATTGTAGTACTCGCCAAACGCTTACGAAATATTATACAGGCATATAATTCGAGGCCGGATACGATGGTATACGAAACCTACGTATCCTGTCAGCGGATCCAAAGGACAAAGCAGAAAATTATGCTAATGGCATGGTAGACCATGTTTCTTGGATCCTCGAAAGCAGTGGCCCAGTAGATCCATCATTCCGACCAGCAAGAAAGAGGCGCTAGTAAAGAGCTGCTAGCTTAATAGATTCCCTAGATTCATATTGAGACCTTGCAGTCTCTGTATCTGTCTCATTAACCTCAGAATTTGGAGTCTCCGCCGCATTTTGTTGCATCTTTTCCGTGGTCTTCTGTGGACAAAGAACATAATGATCAGTAAACTGATGTAAATGTACTTATCTCTTCCAGTGACTCGGAGGTCATCTCGGAAATGGCATTTCCGTGGCCCTTTGAATCCGGGGCGTCCAACTGATGAAGACGAGAGGTACATGTATCAGCACCTGAGGATAGAACGCGTAGAGTAGTTCCATGGAGAGATAGAACAGTTTTGCGCAGTATTACGATTAGCCGATTAGGAGCCCTCGAATGGAATGGAAAAACCTCGGACTTTAGAGACGGGTGTAGTATTATTAATAGTCTAATCACGAAAACCAGGACTATTTCAGTACGCAATACTACGAGGGTGACGGTCGGTTTCTAGCTTGTTATGATCCTTTCAGCAAACAGGGAGCTGCAAGGGCAAAGTCTTCCGTGTCCAGTGTATCTCAAAGCCACCAGATTGAAAGGGACGGAGGACTCACAATGGTCTACTCTTTCGGAGCGCCTGAGAGTTTGGCTCTAACACGCAGGCAAGGTAGTGGATTCTAATAAATTTCTAATAAATTTGAAATGCGCAAGCGGGCAGGGCAATTTCGTATTCTAGACGGTAATTGCATCCACAATGTAGGATAGTGCCAATATTGCCCATGGGCTGGGGATGCATTTATTGTAGTGTAAAGAGCTGAAGTACGATAAAGTTTGGATCAGAATTAAGGAAAGATCCTTTACCATGTTCGCGGGAGTGTAATTCTTGCCTGCAAGTTTTGCGAGTCCCCCATAAAAATACGATGAATTCATACTAGTACTGTGGGTTATTTCCCTTCAAGTTGCTTATTGAGACAGGCATGCGAGAAACTATGTGGCTTGTGTGACTGAGTCAGGCGTCGATCGGGCTCGTTTAAACTTCATGAAGAGATGGCTTTTCGGGAAGTCCTTGGGCGAATTCGGGGCTCTAAGGGGCTGGGCTCATTGAGCCAACAACCAGAAAAACTTTACAGGAAATCATCGTGATATGAAACTTGGGATGGGAACAAAAATAAGCTCCAAGTGGTCAAGATCAAGCTCTCAAGTCTCACTTACAGGGTATCCCAACCAAGTGGTAAGCTGTGATAACCCCAAGGGGGAGTAATTATACTTTGAATCGTACGCGGTCATCGGATACCAAAGGCGCACTGTATACCCTGATACACGGTCCGTGTATGTAGTTAGCCGTAGGTAGAACCGAAAGCTAAGAATTCCTGTAAGCACATGAAGGGTCCCAAGCTCGAGGCACAGCTTGCCGGCCTCCCCAGCTTCTTCAGGTCTTTGGGATTCTTGAGCCCCCCTTGATGTCTCTGCTCTCTACGTTTACGAAAGACCCCTGAGCAGTTACGGCACTCACACAGCTGATGCGGATTCCTAGATTGCCCAGTACCGAAAGCTAATGTAGGCGGGAGTTGGACACAGGTGCGGCTATTGCAGGATAATTCACGTCGGATGAACTGCAAAGCGGCACGAGGTATCTGAAGGATGAGTGAAGTTTACCGGATGGAAACAGGTGCGACAGCGCATTCAAACATTGAGCGTATCTGAGCGGAGGCATGAGATAGTTGCTGCTACGAGCACATGGTGAGCGCGTTGAAGAGAGTACCGAACGTCGAGGAAGAGTAAAGTTTTGGTTAAAAAGAGATGAGCAAAAGGTACAGTAGTATGGTGGTATGCCCGGATCGATTCGGACTCTGGGTTGGACCAGCGAGAATGACACCCTTATGAGACATATAAGTGAAGTTCAAGTGAGGCTCTGAGTAGTTTCGGGAGATGAACCGAGAGTCAAAAGAAAGGTTTATGGTGCTTCCGAGCTTGCTGAATACAAGATACGCGGTTGGGAACTTTAAATAAACTCTTGCTCACCGACGAAATCTCCCTTAAGAACACTTTTTGTGGTCAACTGCTCGGTCTCATAATATTCGGCCAAGTCGCGTATCCGGGTCTTGTGTAGTTTGTCGCAGAAGAAGAAAGAGTCGACGACCGTACGTAACTTGGCGACCAGGTGATCGATGAGCAAGACTCTGTCTTTCGCGCCGTCACCGGCGTCACCACCAAAAACACCCGCTATTTGCTCAAAGTGCTATACGCGGATATTAATCTTCATTCAGCTCATCAAGTTATTCTTGTTTGGAACGCTTTGCAAAGCTCCAGATACAAGGCAAAGGAAACAAGGTTAATCATGGTCCGACTGTTATACGGAGTTCGCTCTCACATTCCCGTTACTCACGAAGAATCTCAATTTGACCTTGGTACTGCTGTGACACTGACCGAACAGTCGGTGATACGGAGATTACCTCGAAATGAACGCGTTAGGAAAGGATCCGAGCTGAACGACACGGTGATTCAATTGCGAATGGCCATTTGAGGGGAAGATCACGACCGCCATAGTCACGAAAGAAGACGCGGCAGGCACGTATACTCAAACGTCGCGTTGATTCTGGCTGTATATTACACAGTGGCCAGTTTTTCGGTATCGGATCGTCCCTTGCTTGGCCAGCCACTTTCAACTCCGCTGCAATGCATCACAGCTATACGTTGTTTCGATCCTGTGTTGTCGGAATCTGATTTAAACGAGTTAGAGTCTGAATATCACTCTCCGCAAGCAAGTTTCCGTGTCAACGATTCAAAGGTTATATGTTTCATTTTACCCGCGGACGCATATCGGAGGAGCGATGGGACACTTTTGTAAGGAGGAGCATCGACCGAAAAGGTATGTTTTTTGGGACATGCGATTGTTAACCCAAATGAAGCTAGGTTGATGTTCCGAAAAACAGTCATTGTCGCCGGTCGGAAGTGCTGTGGCGTTATCGTTCTCGAAAATGGACGTTTTGAATGTACCGATAATTTAGTTACAATTACAGTTACAGTTACCGAATGGAGGATGCCAGTGGCAAGATGAGCCATAACTTTGAGTGTTCCTTGCGCGGGAGAATTCAAAGTTAAAATTTAAAGGCAAAGTAGTCGATGGAGATGATACAAAACTAGATGTCACGACGGGATCGGCTTAAAATTTCTAAATTTGGAATTAGATGCGGCTTTGGGATAATTGAAACCCAGCTGTTTCTTGCTTTCTTACTCCCATCTGCCTTCACAAACAGCGTCGTTGAACGGCCTGTACGCCCACAAATCCTACCAATATGGGTTTGGAAACTCTCTGTGGTACGTCTCATACACCTTGCTATCATCCATAACTAACTCGTTTTTTCAGATGAAATTCTCCAATTAATTTTCTCCTCATTGCACGACCCAACACCCTTTACTCTTCTCTCTAAACGCCTTTACGACTTTTCTCAAGACCCTTACGCGCGAGCACAGTACTTCTTGAATCGATATGGACGCGCCCAGGCTATCTATGAGGCTCTCGGGAAAGGAAAGGTCGTCAATGAAAAGGTCCTCGATGTATGTTTTCTCGCCCTTGACATGTTAGGCGCGTATCAATTCAGATTTTTTATGTAGATCCTCATTAGTAGTGGCGCCCACATTTCTCGTTACCTCATCCAAATCGCCATGCACCACTATTTCCACACTCAAGCCCATCCTTTTGTCAAGACTAGATGGGTCCGGAACGTCAAGTTTGAGGTTTTCGTCCATTTCTTGCAACGGGGCGCGGAGATCTATGGCGACATCCCGAGGGAAAAGGTACCGATTTGCATCGGTCTTTTTTTGAATTCGACTGACTATTTGCAGGGCAAGGACGACGGATCCTTGTTCAATTCATTCGTGCGAGAACGCTCATTTCCTGCTTCCATGAGGACGACCAGTTGGGAAACGATCAAGGATATACTAGAGAAATACAACGTGTGTAGCTCCTCTTTCCTTCATTCATTTCATCGCTTAACTCTGCCTTGACATGCAGTTTTTCCCATTTAGCTTAAAGGTATGTACCCCATATCGCGCCTATGCATAAATGACCGACCATAGTATGCTCTAGGATCCTGTCCTTGCTCAATTTCCCCTCGTTCTTGCAATCGAGCCTCGTTTGCTGCCATTTGCAGTTGCAAATGGATTCTACATGGATGAGAAGGTCCATGACATATCTAAATGACATCGTTCTCATATGCTGACTCTTTGCTTAGTACCGCGACTTTGTCTTTCGCAAGATGTTTGAAAACTCGTCAACGTCCGACCGCACCGCAGATGTCATTGTCCAGAACGTGCGAGAGCTTTGCAGGCTCGACCCTCAGTATGTGTCTTCGTCTCTTTTGAGTATCGTACTGATTGTGTTACTCATCTTTTCCCATTCATCCCATTGTATGCTTCCCCCGAAATCATCGTTAAACCCACAGGATGTTTCTAAGTCGCACTGTCGCCGCCGAAATCTGTATGGAGTCTCAAAATAACGAATCCGGTTATAGCGCCCTTAAAACCTTGGCCAAGTCTGGGGACCT